CTCCTCGCTGGAGGCAGCCCGCTGGTGGTGGTGGTGTCGCTCCTCGTGGCACCCCTGTGCACATCCCGTCATCAGAATCCGTGGTGTGGACCCCTCACGCACTTCCGCGCGGTCAGGACACAAGAGACTTCCAACATGTTCAAATTCGGGGAGAAGATTTGGGCACTGCATACGGGAGCAAATGGAAAATACAACAGCGAGTACAACAATCGACTCACAATCTCCACTCGTCTTGCCAATTACCCATCGTCTTCGCATGAAGTTCCGACGCTGCTTCACAATGAAGCCAAAGCCTCATGACTTCGTCTTCCATGGCCCATTCTCCGAGAGAGGGGGCCGGCGGCAGGGGGCGAAGCCCTTACGGATTTAATTAATTTGGCCTCTTGGTGCTCTGGCAGGCCTCTTGGGATGTCTCGGAGCCTTCTTCGACCGCCTCGGGGCCATCTTGGGCCGTCTTGGGCGACTCGGAGCCTTCATCGGCCTTCTTGGGGCCCGTTTTGGGGCTAACTTGGGCCGTCTTGTGCAGCCCTTGGGCCGTCTTGGCCCCCTCTTGGTCTGTCTTAAGGGCCTCTTGGGACTGTCTTAGGCACTCTTGGGCAAGTCTTCGGAACTTTCTGGGCCGTCTTCAAATCCGTAAAGGCCACAGCGTCGCACATGCTAAAAGTGTACGCTTTCCTATCGGTATTTGACGATTTTGGCCTCTTGGAGCCCTCTTGGGAGTGCTTTGGCAGGCCTCTTTGGACGTCTCGGGGCCTTCTCGGACCGTCTCGGGGCCATCCTGGACCGTCTTGGGCGACTCTGGGCCTTCTTGGGCGCCGTCTTGGGGTCAACTTGGGCCAACTTGGGCCGTTTTGGGCGCTTCTTGGGCCGCCTAGGCGCCCTCTTGGTCAGCCTTGGGGGCCTCATGGGATCCTCCGGGGCCGTCTTGGGGGAGTCTCGGGAGCCCCTTGGACCGTCTTGACAGCCGTAGTAAGCTGCAAAGGCGCACATGCTAAAAATGTCAGTTCCCCCATCGGAATTTAATGATTTTGGCCTCTTGAGGCCCTCTTGGGAATGCTCAGGGAGCCTTCTTGGAGCGTCTTGGGGCCTTTTTGGGCAACTCGAGGCCTTCTTGCGCCGTCTTGGGGGCCTCTTAGAACCCTCTTGGCTCGTTTTGACACCCTCTTGTCCTCTCCGGGCCGCCTCTGGAGAGCGAAACGGAGGGGCATCAGCGAGCGTATTAGAATTGTTGCAGGCTGGACCGGCCCAGGCCGGGGGGGGGGCTGTTCATATATATATATATATATATACACACACACAAAGCCACGCGCGCTACGCGCGCTTGGGTTCTAGTCGCAGCTAGGCCATGGATGTCGTTGTCGGTCGTGCCATGGGCGGCGCTGCGAACCTCCTCGCACGTGGGCTCTGCGGAACCTGCGTCCGCCTCGGCCCTCTCCTGTCCTCATCCCTCTCAGTCCTCGGCGTTGCTGTGGTCATCCTTCTCCTCCACTCCTTCTTTCTCTGCTCACTCACAAAGAACGGGCCGCCGCCTCGCGTGGCTGTCCCTATGAGAAGTCGCCCAGCAACGCGGACGCTCAGCGGAAAGCTTTCGACAAAGAAGGAGGAAGAGGAGGAGGAGGAGGAGGAGGAGGAGGAGGAGGAGGACAAAGGTAAACCCAAAACTCCCTCTCCATAAGCCCCTGCAAAAGCCCAATTTCACTGAGGGAATTGTCTCGTTGGGGGACAACCGTGAGAAAATCCCGGAATGTGCCAAAACATTATTTCCAGGATTTCAACGCCACGGGTTAACCTGATTGCTGAGTCTTGGCGATTCTGAATCGTGCGAGAACGCCATTCCTGGGACTTCGACACCGCGAGTCAACGCAACTGTTGCGACCTGACAATCCCGAATCGTTCCAAAACACACTATTCCTGGGACGTGAAGCTCTTGCAAGGTTTGTCAACGAATGCGCGCGGCGCTAAGGCGAGGACAATGGTTTGAACACGGCCCGCCCTCAATCCGTGAAGCTCTTGCAAATGTGAAAGTGTGGCGCTAAGGCGAAAACCATATGTTGAAAAGGACCCGCCCTAAACTTGTGAAGCTCTTGCAAATGTTAAGGGCGAGTGTGCGCGGCGCTGAGGCGAGAGCCACACTTTGAACACTACACGCCTTCAACCCGTGAAGCTCTTACAAATGTTTAAACCGAATGTGCGCGGCGCGAAGGCGGGAGACACATGTTGAAACAGACCCGTCTTTCTTCCGTGCAGCGCTCGCACATGTTTAAGACGAATGTGCTCCGCGCTGGGGCGAGAGCCACATTTTGAAAACCACCCGCCCTACATCTGTGAAGCTGTTACCAAATGTTAAGCTTCAGGCTCACAAACGGTTAGGAAGTCTTAAGCGAAACGCCCAATCCGCCCTTCCGACTGGTCTTGCGGTGCGGCAGGGTGGAGCTAGTCAGAAGGAGTAGGATGATGAAGAGGAGGCCCAGCCTCATAATGCAGGTGAGTCTATCGCCTTACCGCCGCTCTCGCCTCTCTCACCCGAGAGGCAGCTCGGCTGCATGGAGGTGGAGGAGGAGGACCCATGTAAACACAAAACCCATCAACCATATTGCAATAGACCCTCCCTCCAAGTTCCTTCTTCACAAGCCCCATACATGGTTCATTTTCTGGACGACAGCCGTTTGAAAATCCTGAGCTCTGCCAGAACACCAGTCCTGGGACTTCAATGCCGTGAAACACCGTTACTGTTGCGTCTTGACGATCTTGGATCGTGCCAGAACGCCCTTCCTGGGACGTCAACACCGCGAATCAGCGTAACGATTGCGCTCTGACTGTCCGGCACCGTGCCAAAACACCATTTATGGCACGTGAGCCATTCGAATGAAAGGTATTCTTGGAAGTTGTTAAAAGGAATGTGCTCTGTGCTGCGGCGAGAATCACAATTTGAAAACGACCCGCCCTCCATCCGTGCAAAAATCGTAAATTGCGTAAACGACTGTGCGCGGCGGAAAGGCGAGAGCCTCTTGGGAAAACGACCCGCCTTCCATCCGTGAAACGCTCGGAACTTCTTTTTATAACAAAACGAATGTGCGCGACGCTAAGGCGAGAACTACATGTTGAAAACAACCCGCCCGCAATCCGTGAAGCTCTTACAATGTTTGACACGAACGTGCGCGGCGCATGGGCGAGAACCACAGTTTGCAAACGACCCGCCATCCATCCGTGAAGCCCTTGCAACTTCTCAGCTTAAGGGTCATAGATGGCGAGGAAGTCTCAGGCGAAACGCCTTGCCCGCCGTATCGACACGCCCCCGGGCACGACAGGAAGGAGTTATCTAGAAGGGAAAGGATGAAGAAGGATGGAAGAAGAGAAGGAGGAGGAGGAGGAGGAGGAGGAAGTGACGGTCAGGCGGCTCGGCAGCGTGGAAGCAACAACGGGCGGCGCCGAATGCCCCCGTGGAGAGGGAGGCGCCTGCCTGGAGGAAGCTGCGACACCTCTCCCAATGCCAAAAACAACGCTCGGTCTCTCAAAACCTCTTGTGGCTGAGCCGTGGGCGGGAGGCTGGTGCCCGAACTGATCACGCTCGGGCGCGGAGGCTCGAGCGGCCGCTGACACCGTCTTGCGCATCCCCGTCCCTCCTCCTCCTCCTCCTCCTCCTCCTCCTCCTCCTCCTCCCCCTGCACACGCCTAGCTTCTCAGACACTCGTCCCGGACTGCTCACTGCCGTTAGCGTGAACGGCTCTCGAGGGCTGGGTGCAACGCACTGCCCCTCCGGGCAGGAGGGACGCTCGCGGCACCCATCTACTCTGGGTGGTCTGTTAAGCCTGCCCGGCGTCCACGAGAAAGGGCAGCATGAGACGGAAGTCAGGGTGCTGGGGGCGCAGGGAGGAAGGATGCAGTCAGTGGCCAGGACTCGGATAACAAACCCAAAATCCTGGAAATGCTGTGCGCTGCCCCTCACCATGGACAGAGCTGAACTTGGTGGCACAGAAGATCTGTGCAGCCCGCCTGACACACGGAAAGCACCGTAGCTTCGACTGACGCGGGGGCGCGTGGACAATGTATTGTACTAAATATTTCAAACGTCGATGCAGGCGACAAGTCAACAGGAGGAGGAGGAGGAGGAGGAGGAGGAGGAGGAGGAGGAGAAGGGGGAGGAGGAGGAAGACGAGGAGGAGAGCGGAAAGTCAACCGCCTTCGGCGCCTACCGCTGGGTCGCCTTGCGTTCGCTTAACGAGCGAGCCCCTTGACTGTCCCTGCGAGGATTGCAAGGTCAAGATCGCAGCCCAGAGTGCCCACGCAAAGTCAGCGACCCTTGTAGCAAAGGTCTCAGCGCCTGCTCCACCAACAGCTCCACGTGCACAGCGAAGCTTCCGCCGCTCCCTGGGGACAGATCTGTGATTAACAGATGCGTCCTCCAAGAATGCTATTGGCGGCCAGCCTGCGACGCCGCTGCTGTTGAGAAGTCATAGCATGCGATTCTAAAAAGACGGATTTCCCCGAACTGACAACATCATATCATACGCAACTGGAACACCTTCTGCATGGCAGAGGTGATCTTGCGGCTAATGCCAGCTTGCCCGTGCTCATGATGCGCGTGTCCCCTGCAGAGCATGGTAAGCAAGTGTCCAATAAACAGCGGAACGTCAGACGGTGCTGTTTCTTTTTCGTTGGATTAATTCCTCTTGATAGTTTTGAAGCATGGGTTAGCGTTCGGGCTGGCTGCGCGTATCGAGGAGCGGCCCAGTGCAAACGCTGCGGGGCCCCAAACCCACAAGCCAGAAAGTAAGTGATCCTTGACCCTCACCTCATCCTCTTTCCTCCCTCTTGGTGAGCGCTACCATCAGAACGACGACCGCTTGACACTCGCCTGGAACCGCGCTTGCACGCAGAACGTGGCACCGACATAAAGCACGATACTGGAAATTCGATGACACAAAGGGGTCCCACAACTCCAGCCGATTACCGTACACGACTGGTGGGCCCCTCACGTAGCTAAAGATCCTCAGTCCTCGTCATGGGCCCCCTGGCTCCACCGGGGTCCCTCTCGGTTTACTTCTTGGCACGTCCATCACGCTGCAAATGCCTGCAAAATCCGTGTCGAGCATCCACCGCAAAAGCCTCAAGAACGTCGCAAACTGGATCGTATTCTTCTCTGCCTCGACCCGGCTCCTGTTCTCCGCCAGGAACTGCTTGAGTTCCTGCAGCTTGCTGCTAGGCACCTTCACCCCGATGGACTTCAGCAGGATGGGCAGTTCCAGCTCCGAGATGGCAGGCACCTTCGTGAGTCGCGCAAGGAGCTTGTCCACACACTGCCTCTTCCTAGCCACCAGCTGATTCCAAGTCGCTCGACCAGAGTCCCGCTCGGCGTAATCACAAAAGATGCGGCGGAACTCGGCGGCCTCGCTGGTCGAGAACTGGGCAAAGGCCACGGCCTCCTTCTCGCGAGTGTGGACCTCCTGCTCCGTCTCCCGCGTCATGCCGCGAATCATGTGCACGAATGTGTAGAAGCCGATGTCCGTGGTGCCTCCGCGCGACACCTCCTCCTCGGGGACCCCAGCGTCGACTGCCGCCTCCCGCGCGGCCTGCACGCGCCGCAGCAACTTGTCCCGACCCTCACTCGTACTCACGGGGACCATGTACGAGTCGGAAAGCATCCAGAGGAGCTCGCCGACGGTGGCGAACTGCCTCGAAGGCCCGCCGCAGTTCCAAAGCTCCGCTATCTCCAATACGGTGTCCTCTGAGAAGCCTCCGCGCTTCCGGAAGTCGAAGTTCATGCGGAAGCGGCACTGGTCGTGGAGGCGCATGAAGGAAGTAAAGCTCAGCTCTGCCGGCATGTCCTGCAAGAGCTCCGCGATCATGGCAATCTGTGGGAAGAGCTGCAGCTTGGCAAGAGCGTCCTTAACTGACCCCGCGGGAAGCCGACCATTGCGGTTGCTCAGCCCGTTGAAGACCCTGAGAGCGCACTCGACGTCCTGCTCGCGCATCAGCCTCATCAGCCTCAGGAACTCGTCGATGTCCATGGAGCCGTTCGCGTTGAAGTCAACACGATTGATCATGGAGTTTGCCTCCTCGAAGCTGGTCGTGTTTCCAAGGTGCCGGAGCAGGTCGAGCACCTGGGGGTGGTTCAGCTCACCCGTTCCTTCGTAGTCGAAACTCTCGAAGGCAGAGCTGAGCTCCTGCCGCTCAGTGCGCGAGAAGCCGTGCGTCCTCCTGGCAGCGGCCAGAAACTGCACCAGCGCGTGAAAGTCCAAAGTAGCGTCCTTCTGCATCCCGAGGTCGGACAGAAGTTCATCTACAGCGTCCGCGAGTAGGGAAATGCCAAACTTTTTCACGATGCTGACGGCAATGTCCAGCTGCACTGCGCCGCAACCACTTGCTTCGAAACCTTCGAAGCACTTCCACAGATCCTTGATCATGGCGTCGCGCAGCCGGCGTGCCCAGATCAAAAACTCGTGAAAGCATATACCCTGCTCTGTGGAGTCGGAGGGCATGATGTCCGAGAACATCTCCATGTAGTCCACGCAGTACAGGCCTGTGAACTTGAGCAGGCCCTCAACGAGGGCAGAGGCCTTTGCCATGGGGCCCCAAGCGCTCGAAGATGCTTGCTGCTCTTGCTCCAGCTCGCCGAAGATCTCGTGAGCGGCCGCCACCTCCTCCCTGGTGAAGCCCTCCTCCATCTTGCACGCGGCCAGCGTCAGCAAGAGGTCATCCATCCCCATGTCCTCCGGCCTCATGTGGTCTAGCCCCGCGGCCTTCCGCGCCTTCTCCACGTGGCTGTACGGGAGGCACACGCCCGCAAACTGCAAGAACCGCTGCACCCCCTCCAGCGACGCCGCGCCGCCGTGCTCCGCCAGGCACACGTCCGCGCGCTGGCGGACGGCGGCGCGCTCGAGGGCGGCGAAGTTGTTCACGTACTCGCAGAAGTCCACGTAGTCCAGGTTCTGGAACTCGAAGGACTGCGTGGCCAGGTCGACGGCGCGTGCCTCTCGGGAGCGGCCAAGAGGGGGGGGTCCAAGAGGGGGGGTGCAAATCATGACTGGCGGCATGTGCGCGGCCCAGCGGGGGGGCCAGGGGCGTAAAGAAATAATAAGAAGCGCCATGAAATCTGGGGAAACATCATGGCCCACGCCATGATATCCACCCCCCTCTAGTCATCACCCCCCTCTTTTCAGCCCCCGAGCCTCCGTGCTGGTCAAGAAACCCATGTGGATGAGAGCGTCGTGCAGGCGCTCGCGCGCGACCTCGCTGGCTCCGCCGATCTCGAAGCGCCTGAAGGCCAGGCGCAGGAACCTGTCGTGCACCTCCATCCCATCGTCCGCGCAGCCAGAGTAGACCTCGAGCAGCGTGGCCGCGTAGGGCACCTGCACCTCCGCGTCTTCGGGCACCCGGGTGTCCCCGCTCATGGACGCGTGCGGGCTGCTCTCGCGCTTCGAGGGGCTGTGCTCCTCGCTGCACGCCTCGTCCGGGCCGCAGCCGACGTCCTCCTGAGTGACCCTGGGCAAGAGCGACCTCTGGTGCGCGGCTTTTTTTAAGGACCGCGGGGGGGACGACAACAAGCTCGCAGGCCGCTGCCGCCGCTTCTCTTTCGGCCATCTGGGGGCCCATCTGTGCCCGCACCCAGGGCCACTCCCGCGAAAGGCCACTCTCACGCCTCTAGCCGATCCTGCTCCTGCTGCCCCAGGCCGGGCCCCCGCGGCACCAGCGCGGAGACGACCAGGGAGGCGCGCCGCAGCTTCAGGAAGCCCAGGAAGGCCTGCCGGGGCGAGCCGCCGCGCTGCGCGCCCGTGGCCGGGCGCGGCAGCGGCCCGCAGCTCCGCCCGCCCACGCTGCTGGGCGAGCACGAGCGCGACGCCGCCGGCGACGGCGGGCCGGGCGACGGCAGGCCGAGGTCGAGGCGCTGGCCGCCCAGGTCCTGGAGCTGCAGGGAGGGCCGCCGCTCCAGCGGCGCGGCCTGCAGCGCGGCCCCGTCCGGGAGGGGGCCGAGGCTGTAGCGCCGGCAGGCGCTGGCGAGGCTCCTCTGGGCCTGGGACGGCTTCGCCTCGAAGCCGCCCGCGGACCTGCGCCTGCGCAGGGGCTCCAGGCGCAGCGCCCCCGTGGAGGAGACCTTCGGCAGCCAGTGCTTGGGGGGAGCCCTCCTCAGCGAGGGCGTCGTGGGCGCGCCGAGGCCACCAGAGGCCGAGACCTCTCCGCCTCCGAGGACTGGGGACAGCGACAGGCTCCTCTTGCGGGCCGCCTCGAGCGGCCCGAGCGGGGCCAGCTTGCACGAGGCGTTCCTGGAGGCCGGCCCGAACGGGGTCCGAGGAGACGGGGTCAGAGGATCGCGCTGCACCGCCAGTGCACCCCGATGATGCACCGGCGACGTCGGAGTGGAGACAACCGGGGCTTTGGCTCGCGCCGGAGTCGCCGACGCTTCAGCGATGCGGCGCGACCCTCCGACCCCATCTGCAGCGGGCCCCACAAAGGCACGATCGGGGGGGGGGCAGAAGAGGCGGATAGCCCAGAGGCGGGAGCCTCGTTAACCACATGGACGGCTCGGCGCCCCTGGATACATGTTGCAGTTATCTCCTCCTCTGGGCTAGCTGTCCGACCCTGCTGCGGAGGGGACAGAGGAGGTATAGGGCACCGATGCCGCAAGAATCCCCCAGAAATCGTGGGGGGGGGTAGGGGCAGGGCTCGCACATGTGGCCCTCTCATCCCCGACTCTCTGCCGTCCCGGGGCGCGCTCTGACCAGGACTTCGAAGCGGATCCAGCCGCGGCGGCGAGGCGCGGGCAGCGGCACCGGTGCCTTCCTCCTCCTCGATCGGGGCCGCCGCCGCCGGCACGGGGGGCGCTCCCGGAGCTGCCCCGCCGCCCCAGGCGTGGGCCAGACTGGACCTCAACGACGGCGGGGGGCGGCGCGGCTGGCGGGGCCGGGCGGCTGCTCGGCACGGCGGGGCGCGGCGCATCCATCGCGGCAGCCCGGGCACTCCGTGGCAGCACACGGGGGCGGGGCCCAGGGCGCTGCGGAGGCCGGGCCGGGCTGAGAGCACGGACGGAGCATGAGCCACAAGGTGGCTGTGGAAGGGGGGGAAGGGGAGACAAGGGAGGGGGAGGAGGACGGGGGGCGGCCAGACCGGTCATCCCAGCAGCCACCCGTGCGTGGGTGGTTTGGCGGATCAGCTCTTCCGAAAATGCCCACTCTTTTTGTTGTTATTCTTCGTCTTATGGGAGCGTGTTGCGTCCTCTTTCTCGGGGAGTCTGGGCCAGGGTGTCGCGAGGCGTTGGAGTGTCAGGGATGGCATCTGATGCTCCCTTGATCGCCCCAGGTAATTCTACGTTGCCTCCGAGATGGCGCAATATAGCCAAAGGCGGCCCAGGATGGCCTCCACCTGGAGGAACATGCATCGACGAGGCCCTGAGAAGGCGATGTAGGACAGATGGGAAACGGCGACGGAGGGTAGAGGAGACGGCACGAAAAAAGAGGCCAGCACGCAAGATCGAGGTTCTAATAATGATAGTAGGGTCAATACAAGTTCAAAGAAGGACGGAATGCTCGGGGACTCTTCGAACTCCTCGGACATGCCCGCAGAAGCCGCCGCTAACAAACTCTGTGAAAAACAAAAACGCGCCTGCTACGACCCAAGCAGTGAGCTGATCAAGGGTGCGAAGAGGCACCACGCGCCACAAACAAGCAACACGTCAGACAAATGGCAAGCCGAAATTTCCCCTGGCCAAGAAATACGGAACACGCTTTGTCTGCAACCTCTGTGATCGCAATACGTCGACTGTATAGAAGATGTGTGGTCACATGAAGGTCCGAACATTTTCCACCTGCTCCAATCGACGCTGTGCGCCAGTGCACGCGAGCGCAGATGCTTGGACTGAACGCAACATTGCTCGATTGGTTAAACGACGTTGACGGTCATCGTAATTTGAAACATGCCGAACATATGGCCAAACATTGTCAGGCCCATACGTGGTCTGGTTGGCAATAAACTTCTTGGAGGGGCCAGGGGGGTGCGTTGTCCAGTTTGCAAACCGAATTGCCATAATCGTTTCCCAATCTACCGACGCGCGTTCTCCGAATCCGCCGGTCCAGTCGGCGTGTGAGAGGCCCTTCGACGCGAGGCCAGCCTAACCCAAACTGAAGTACGCCAGCCTCCTTTGAATCGTCGTCGTCGTAACGGAGATCGACCAAACAAGGGGGATCGAACAACGTCGCAATTACGTCGAAGGGAAGCCCCCTCCAATTGCCCCTTCCCCACTAGGGGGAGGGGGGGGGCCGGGAGGTGGTCCCAGGGGGTGGTCCCTGGGGGTGGTCCCTGGGGGGGCCTCGGGGGGCGTGCCCCCCCCCAAGGCAACCCCCCTGTGGATCAGGGGGACAAGAGGGTGGTTCGGGGATGGACAGACCCCCCTTTAGTAAAACGTGGTTTAGTGAAAACGACCTGAGGCCCAAACCTGGCTGGCGCAAGCCTGGAAAATAGCGGCCACGGCGCCCTCTCGAGAACCGAAAACGGACAATTCACCAATCGACGTGTCACTGACGGCAGGAGGGCCCAGCACCCCTCCCCCCGCCTCGGCCCCGGCCCTGGCCTCAGCCCCTGCCCGGTCCCCGCCCCGGCCCCGGCCCCGGCCCGGGCCCCGGGCCCAGTCCAGGTCCCGGCCCCGACCCCAAGCCCTGGCGGACCCCTCCCCCCCCCGCCGGGAGTTGTCCCCTTACCCAGGCGCCCGCCCCCGAGGAGACAGACGGCTCTCCTCCTCCTCCTCCTCCTCCTCCTCCTCCTCCTCCTCCTCCTCCTCCTCCGCCTCCTTCTCCGTCTCCTCCTCCTCCTCCTCCTCCTCCTCCTCCTCCTCCCTCCTCCCTCCTCCTCCTCCTCCTCCTCCTCCTCCTCCTCCTCCTCCTCTTCCTCCTCCTCCTCCCAATCCGCCTCCTCCTCCTCCTTCTCCTCCTCCTCCATTCAAATTCCTTATACATAATTTCTCCCTGTCGCACCCCAAGGCCAGTTTTCAGGGCGGGCCGGGCGTTCCGCCTAAGACTTCTTCATCATTTATGTTATGACCCTGAATATCAAAAGTTGCCAAAAGTTTCACAGATGGAGGGCGGGCCGTTTTCAAAATGTGGCTCTCGCCTTAGCGCAGCGCGCATTCGTTTCAAAAAGTTTGGAACAGTTGCGCGGATTGAGGGCGGGTGGTTTTCAAAATGTGGCTGTCGCATTAGCGCCGCGCACATTCGTTTATAAATTATCCTGGCAAAGCAACCTAACAGCGATGTGTAGAAGCATATATGAAAGCATTCCCCTTAAGATTCAGATGAAAATCCAGTTGTAGAATTCTGCAGTTCTCGCAGTCGTAATCGCATTCGCGATGACAGTCGCAGCGGCAACGGCAGTCGCAGTCACAGCCTCAGCCTCAGCCTGCCTCAGCCTCAGCCTCAGCCTGCCTCAGCCTCAGCCTGCCTCAGCCTCAGCCTCAGCCTGCTTCAGCCTCAGCCTCAGTCTGCCTTCAGCCTCGGCCTCAGCCTCAGCCTGCCTCAGCCTCAGCCTGCATCAGCCTCAGCCTCAGCCTCAGCCTGCCTCAGCATCAGCCTGCCTCAGCCTCAGCCTCAGCCTGCCTCAGCCTCAGCCTCAGCCTGCTTCAGCCTCAGCCTCAGTCTGCCTTCAGCCTCGGCCTCAGCCTCAGCCTGCCTCAGCCTCAGCCTGCCTCAGCCTCAGCATCAGCCTGCCTCAGCATTCAAAGTGTGGCCCAGGAATGGAGTTCTGGGAACTAGAAGAACACGAAGTGGCCTACAGTTGGCTCCGGGCATTCAAAATCATGCCCAGGAATTGAAGTTCTGGGAACTTGAAGAGCACGAAGTGGCCTACAGTTGGCTCCGGGCATCCAAAATGTGGCCCGGGAATGGAGTTCTGGGAAGTCGAAGAGCACGAAGTGGCCTACAGTTGGCTCCGGGCATCCAAAAAGTGGCCCGGGAATGGAGTTCTGGGAAGTCGAAGAGCACGAAGTGGCCTGCGGTTGGCTCCGGGCATCCAACATGTGGCCCGGGAATGGAGCTCTGGGAGCACCAAGAGCGATTTTGCGAGGATGTCCCAAGCGATTTCGGCTTCGGCGGCAGCCTCCCCGGGTCCCGCCCCGACCCCCCTGAGGAGTCATGATGTTTTCTTTTGACCCCACTAGAAACCTATCAGTCTTCGCTGTTAAGTAAAAATGCAAAGAATTTCGCGGATCGAACGCGGGTGGTTTTCAAAATGTCACTCTCGCCTTAGCGCCGCGCACATTCGTTTTAAACATGTGCAAGGGCTTCACGGATTGAGGGCGGGTGGTTGTCCAAATGTGGCTCTCGCCTTAGCGCCGCACACATTCGTTTTTTAAAACTTAAGAAAATGTCCAGAATTTCACAGATTGAAAGCGGCTGGTGTTCAAAATGCAGTTCTCACCTGAACGCCGTGCACATTCGCTTCAACAAACTGCAAGAATTTCACGGATTCAGGGCGGTTCCATTTCAAACTGTGGCTCTCGCCCCAGCGCCGCGCGCATTCTTTCTTGTATTGAAAAATGAAAAAAATCACGGGTTCTCATGGTCAACAAACCAGTAACTTTGTATGGGAGAAACTCAAGGTTATGAGGGCGCAACAGTTACGCTGATTCGCGGTGTTGAAGTCCAAAGAGCGGCGTTCTGGCACGATTCAAGATCGTCAATATGCAACAGTCAAGTTGATCCGTGGCGTTGGAATCCCGAAAACAATGTTTTGGCATGCTTCAGGGAAGGTTGTCTTCCAACGAGGCAGTTCCCTCAGTGGAAATGAACCGTTGTAGTGGCCTGTGAAGAGAGAGCTTGGAGGGAGGGTTTTCTTCGAACATCGCTAATGACCCTGAGGTTTCCACTTCCTCCTCCTCCTCCTCTTCCTCCACCGCCCGCCCCATGTCCCGAGCCTGTAGCAGCGTCGTCAGCGCATCGTTGTCATTGTCGTCTTGGCCGTCGTCGTAGTCGTCGTCGTCGTCGTCGTCGTCCTTCTGGGTCGGCGGCACTGGCCGTAAGGCCTTCACAATGTTGTGAGTACATTCCATGTCGAGAGCAAGTCTGGAGAGATTCCCCCGAATAGTACTAATAAGTAAATCATGTTAACGACATTCCAGAATGTATGCGTAAGCAAAAACGATCGTGCAAATTGTGTGGACCTCGTCTTCGTTTACCATATGTAGCCTATGGCAGCAATCTGTCCGCTAAACATAACGTCAATGTGTAGAACAATATTTGGTGTTTGTCGAAGTCGATAGCGTCGGCTTGCTGCCCAAAAGCGCCAAATCAAAAATGCGCACATCTCGCTGACAGTGCGAGTTGGAAAAAACACGGCAACAAAATAACAAGCTGATGACTCACTGTGAGTTCGCACTGGGAAATTCGAACCCAACACATCTATGATAAGGGTCGAAGCCGAAATCAACAAACCCAAATAGCACGCATTAGCAATGCTGTAAGATAGTGACGCCACCATCTCTGGGTTAAATATACATTTTTAAAACCTGGCGAATCAAGGCTGCGAACGACACCCGAGGCGGACATGATTGTTACACACACACACATGGGTTGATGTACTACCCTTGCGACCCGGTGGCGCCCGTTGCAAGGATGACTGGGTTAAGCATCCCACCAAGAAGCACATGATGAATGTCATAGCATTGACAAAGCGAGCAATCATACATCGGTTCAGCTGTGCCCCGAAGAGATTGCAATTTTATCCCTCCCACAGTTTCAAATGACCTCGGCACCAAATATTTGAGAGAGCGTGATCCACCACCGCTTTACTGTGGAAAATTGCCGCCCTTTTCCTCCGGAACCCGGGGGTCCCCCCGCCCCCCTCCGAAAATCCCCCCCCCTGCTGGAACCCCTCCCCCCCTTCCCCCGGCAAAACCCCCCCCCTCCCCTGACCCCCCCCCCCCCTCGAGCTCGAAAACCGGGGGGGGTCACTACCGGTTCGAACCCCCCCCCCCCTCCCTCGAAAACCGGAGGGGGGGGTCACTACCGGTTCGAACCACTGAGCTGTCCCACTGTTCCCACCACTGTCCCCACTGTCCCTACCACTGTCCCCACTGTACCTCTTCCCATTGTCCCACCGCCGTCCTCGCCACCGCCTTCACCACTGTCCCCACCACCACTGTACCACTGCCCACTGTCCTACTGTTTCCACCACATTCCCACTGTCCCCACACCACTGTCCCCACCACCACCGTCCCCACCACTGTCCCACTGTTCCCACCATTGTCCTCACCATTGTCCCCACCACTACCGTCCCCACCACTGTCCCACTGTCCCCACCACTGTCCCGCTGTCCCCTCACCACTGTCCCCACCACCACCGTCCCCACCACTGTCCGCACCCCCCCTCGGTTTTCGAGGGGGGGGGGGGGGTTCGAACCGGTAGTGACACCCCCCCGGTTTTCGAGCTCGAAGGGGGGGGGGGGTTCGAACCGGTAGTGACCCCCCCCTCTTTTCATGATGAACTGGGGAGGGGGGAGGGGTTCGAACCGGTAGTGACCCCCCCCGGTTTTCCGGAGGGGGGGGGGGGGTTCGAACCGGTAGTGACCCCCCCCGGTTTTCCGCTAGCAGCGGTAGAACACGCTCTTTCAAATATTTGCATGAATGCAGCCCGTACATAAATACGACTTGTCGTGACATTTCCGTGCGGCCATGCGTACGCTATCGATGTCTAGGCCGTTGACTAATATGCAATATACCATTGCAAACAAACGTCCAATCACAAGCCCGAGCAAGGCACAAAGGACCTGACAGGTTCCCGGCGACACGCACTGGGGCCGTTGATCGCAATTACGTCGACAACGAATATCACGTGCACGGCGCTTGGTTGTCAAGAGTTGCTGTTCAATCCTCGATGCAGTATGCTCGTCGACTTGATTTGCGTCCCTCTGGAGATTGCTCAATGGAGAATTGAGGTGTCCATCGGGGTGAACATGGAAATCATGCATCAAATCTTCAAAAATCTGCATTCTCGAAAGGGCATCATCGGAAGGCAGTTCGTTGGCCCATTTCCCCTGCGTGTAAACGAGCGCCTCGACGATAAAACCTTTAAGCTCTGGGAATGAGCGCTTCAAGATTTTGGCAGCGTTGGGCGTTCCTGGATACATTTCAGACTGTTCTACCCACAGCTTATCACGTTCGTATCAAATGCAACTTTCCGAACGACACGAAGGATCTTCCCCAAACTGTTCACATAAATCATTGTAGAAATCCCTCCACTTCTCATCGGTTATCATTCCAAGGCCTGTAGAAATACTGTAGTCCCGTTCGCTCTGTTCGCCATGCTCCTTGAGAATATGAGTCCCACGTCGGCTTGAACCGATTAGGTCGAAAGTTGGCGTATCATCCCAAACCTGTCGCGCTACATTTTCTATCTACAACTCCTCGGTTCGAGCATGCGCAATCTCGACTGTCGGGGAGATATCATCGGCCAACTTTGTAGATCGTTTCCAATTGCCCCACGCGTGGATCACGCGGGCTACGAACTGTTCGTCGCAGTCCGAGTCCGAATTCTGGCAATGATGTCGACGCATTCCGCAATTTCTGGCACTGCTCGCCGCTGTCACGATGACACAACCGACAACGCACAACTGAACTGCCGTTTCAAAAGTCTTCAACTGTTCAGAACTACATTGCACGGCAATGTCAGCTCGAAACAAATTATCCCGGCAAAGCAACCTAACAGCGATGTGTAGAAGCATATCTGAAAGCATTCCCCTTAAGATTCAGATGAATATCCAGTTGTAGAATTCTGCTGTTCTCGCAGTCGTAGTCGCATTCGCGATGACAATCGCAGCGGCAACGGCAGTCGCAGTCACAGCCTCAGCCTCAGCCTGCCTCAGCCTCAGCCTCAGCCTGCCTCAGCCTCAGCCTGCCTCAGCCTCAGCCTCAGCCTGCTTCAGCCTCAGCCTCAGTCTGCCTTCAGCCTCGGCCTCAGCCTCAGCCTGCCTCAGCCTCAGCCTGCATCAGCCTCAGCCTCAGCCTCAGCCTGCCTCAGCATCAGCCTGCCTCAGCCTCAGCCTCAGCCTGCCTCAGCCTCAGCCTCAGTGCTCAGCCTCAGCCTCAGCCTCAGCCTCAGTCTGCCTTCAGCCTCGGCCTCAGCCTCAGCCTGCCTCAGCCTCAGCCTGCCTCGGCCGCAGCATCAGCCTGCCTCAGCATTCAAAATGTGGCCCACGAATGGAGTTCTGGGAACTAGAAGAACACGAAGTGGCCTACAGTTGGCTCCGGGCATTCAAAATCATGCCCAGGAATGGAGTTCTGGGAACTTGAAGAGCACGAAGTGGCCTTCAGTTGGCTTCGGGCATCCAAAATGTGGCCCGGGAGTGGAGTTCTGGGAAATCGAAGAGCACGAAGTGGCCTACAGTTGGCTCCGGGCATCCAAAATGTGGCCCGGGAGTGGAGTTCTGGGAAGTCGAAGAGCACGAAGAAGCCTACAGTTGGCTCCGGGCATCCAAAATGTGGCCCGGGAATGGAGTTCTGGGAGCACCAAGAGCGATTTTGCGAGGATGTCCCAAGCGATTTCGGCTTCGGCGGCAGCCTCCCCAGGTCCCGCCCAGACCCCCCTGAGGAGTCATGATGCTCTCTTTTGAGACCACTAGAAACCTATCAGCAAGAGCTGTTAGGTAAAACACGATGCGCGTCCCCTCTTGAACCCAGGAGTCCATTCTTAAGCCGCAGTGGTTTTGAGCCAAAGCTGCCACGGAACTGGCACGCTAAAGTTTCAAGCAAGCTAAAGCCCCGCTCGAGACGAAAGGAGTAAGCTGCCAGATGTTACGGCCTGCTTTCTCGTTGTGTGATTTGATTTGGGTTTCTTTGCTTTGCAGTGCAGTGAGGTGCGGTGCGATACGTTACACAACATCTGTTTTGCATTGCTTCGCTTGGTTTTGAACCCCACCAATCCTTTGGGCTAAGGTGGTCTAACGGGTTCCTTCTTTCCTCTTCCAATGCTATTTGTTCGTGGAGGGGTGCCATCCCCCTCTCCTCCCTGAGGTTTTTCTGGGCGGGCCGCGACTTGTTAGAGGGTATTTCTTCGCCCGCCCAAGAGGGCTCCAACAGGGAATCCGATGCTCCAAGACGGCCTCCAAGATACAGCCGACGATGGTTCAAGATAGCTTCCGACATAACTCCAATAGTCTTGACGAGGGCTACAAGACGTTTCCAAGTGCTCTCAGAGCCCCCCTCAGGACCGTCCCACGAGGCCAACATCTTTCAAACACCACAAGAAAAACAACGATGTTTGCCTTCTCGCTTGTTCGCTTCCGATGCGCTTTTGAGGCCTCAAGATGGCCCCAAGATGGTCCAAGAGAGGCCCAAGAGGCCCCGCAGACGGCCCCAAGAGCGCCCAAAAGTGGCCCGAGAGCGCCCCAAGAGGGTCTCGAGAGGCGATTTTGATGGCTTCAGGGGGGACTAACATCGAGAATCCCCTCCTTTTGATCGATGGCCTCTAAGATCACCCCCAGGTGCCCTCCAGGGCTCTCAAGACGGCCCCAAGAGCGCCCAAGAGCGTCCAACGAGGGCCCCAAGAGGCGGTTTGCCTCCTCCTCCTCCTCCTCCTCCTCCTCCTCCTCCTCCTCCTCCTCCTCCCAGGGAGGCGACAAGAGCGGAGCGGGGGAGGAGGAGTGCGAGGGGCGACCAGGGGAGCGGACGAATGGGGGGGCGGACACGGGCGGGGAGCGGGGGAAGGGGGGAGGGGGAGGGTGGAGGGATTTTTCGGATTGCACCTCTGATTCAACCGCTGGCTGGTCAGACCAAGGGCGGCACTCGCGACAGGTACTTACCAGGCTAACGCTGGCAAAAACCGAGGGCGCCAAGGTCGGAGGCAGGCATTGCTGCTGCCATCCGAAGCAGGACAAACAAGGAGGCAGGACAGACAAGGAGGCATTGGGTGGAGGGGGGGGGAGGACGGGGGGCGGAGCAGCCTGTGGCCGGCCAAGGCGCTTGGCCGGCGGCAGGGGCGCCCCTCCCGGCTCCAGCCACCAGTGCGTGCGATGCCGCGGCAGCGCGCGGGGAGGAAACCTCGGGCAGCGGAGGGGGAGGGGGAGGGGGAGGGGGAGGGGGAGGGGGAGGAGGAGGAGGAGGAGGAGGAGGAGGAGGAGGAGGAGGAGGAGGTGGCGGAGGAGGAAGAGGAGGAGAAGGAGTAGGCAGAGCGCCGAGGGAAGCCGCCGACGAGGAGGAGGAGGAGGAGGAGGAGGAGGAGGAGGAGGAGGAGGAGGAGGAGGGCGGCGGCGGCGGCGGCGCACGCCATCCTCTCTCGACCTGTTGCATGCCCCCCCTCCCGCCCTCCAGCCTGGGCGCCCGCTTTCCCTCCGCCCCTCCCCCCCACTCGCCCACTCCCTCCTCTGGGCGGCCTGGAGCGGCTCAGACTCCGTGCGCTCGAGGAGCCTCGGTGTCGCGAGGGACTCAGATGGGATGTTATCCCGCGTTGCTGGCCGCATGTGTTGCGGGTCCTCGGTGGGGGGCCCAATCCTGCTGCTGCATCTACTCTGCGCGCACCGTTTGTCCTTCGCCCTCCCGATGGCACGCCCACCGTTCTGGCGGAGGTAGAGCCTTGCGCAAGTAGTAATCCGTGTCCAACGGGCTGCTCGGTCGGCGGTCACGCATCGGAGGTCACGCAAACCTGCCCGACGTGGACTTTGAGCGATCTCGAGGTGGCGCGATAGGTTCCACGAGTACAGCGTTCGAAACTCGGCTCGGTTTAACTTAATTGAATCAGTAGTGGTGCTGCTGTGCGAGCTGCTCTTGAACATTCAGGGGGCACAAATCAACAGGGTAGGTTGCTCTACAGCGGGTTCGTGCCGCTGGCACCATGAGTAGTTTATTGGAGGTACTAGCTTGAGCGTCCAGCATCACGATTCCTGTGCCAGATCAGGCACTTCCTGCACGTGTTGACATGTGTCACCGTCTGCTCAGAACCTCGAGGACCCCGTGGTAGCGAAGAGTGTAAAGTGGCACTGGATCCTGCTGCCAAGCCTCGGGCAGCTGCTGGAGCAATAGGACAAGTAATGTCGACGCCAGCGCCTAACGTACCCCTTAGTGGGGGGTCTGGAAAGACCAGCCTCTTGTTGGCTCGAAGCGTGCGAGCGCCGAGTCGACCAGATGATGCGATGGCAGGGTCCGCTGCACGCTTGGCTGCACGACCAATAATCTCCTCACGCGGACAGGGTGGTGGGGCACTGTCGATGCACCGGCCGATCTGGACGTCGGCCCGGACCCCGCCGATCCAGACGTGGACGCGCAGCTGGACCGTGCGTGGCCTGAGACCACACCTGGCCATCGCTCGGACGTCCATTCCCTGTCTTTTTGGGGGTTTCGTGCGTGGTTTTTTTCACCGAATGGTCGAGGATGCTCCTCGAAGGTCCTCGCCGGAAAAAAATGCACACGTCCGAGCGATGCCAAGACACTTGTCGCGGAGGCGGAGCTGCATCTCTTCCCCGGGGTCGGTCCCGACGCTCCGCAGAAGTCACCAACCTGTTCCCGCAGGGGTGGCAGCACGGTGGGCTCGACTCGGCCACAAACTGGTTCCCCCGTCGTACCTATGCGTCGCGTATGAGCAACCGCCCAGTCGGGGCCGCCGAATGTGTTCGTGGTAGCGTCGGCGCTCCCCAGCCTGTCCCCAGCCTGGCTCCATTGAAGGTAAACGCTCAAGCCTAGAAAGATGATGCGCCTGGAACCTAGTTAATGTCTGCGCTTATGCTGATCAGGGATCGGTGCTGCAGACAGCGGTCCCTCGCCTCATTCTCCGTTTCCTCCTCCTCCTGCCCCACCTCCTCCTCCTCCTCCTCCTCCTCCTCCTCCTCCTCCTTATCCTCCTCATCCTCCTCACTTCCTCCTCATCCTCCTCCTCCTCCTCTCATCATCACCATCACCATCACCATCACCATCACCATCATCATCATCATCATCATCATCATCATCATCATCATCATCATCATCATCATCATCATCATCATCATCATCATCACATCATCATCATCATCATCATCATCATCATCATCATCATCATCATGAGTAGCATCATCATAATCAACACCATTACCATCATAATCACCATCAGCATCATCACCATCACCATCACCATCACCATCACCATCACCATAAGCTTCACCATGGACACCACCATTATCAACAACAGCACGATCATCATCATCACCACCGTCATCCTCATGATCACCATCAGCATCAGCATCAGCATCATCAGCATCATCAGCATCATCATCATCACCACCACCACCACCATCATCATCATCATCATCATCATCATCATCATCATCATCATCATCATCATCATCATCATCATCCTCATCATCCGCATCGTCAGCATCATAATATCCTCCTCCTCCTCCTCCTCCTCATCATCATCATCATCCTCCTCCTCCTCCTCCTCCTCCTCCTCCTCCTCGTCCTCCTCATCCTCCTCCCTCGCTCATGTTTCCTCTTCTCATGGATTTCCCGAGCTTGTGCGACGGCGCTGGCATGTTTCGGGGGCAGCAATTGCATTCGAAGCAGATTTCGCGAGTGGACGAAACCTGAGCGGTCCTAGGGGCTGCAACTTCCTTCACTTGCGCTGAATCGAACCGCCGATGTGCGGCGGACAGAACAGCAAAGTCATGATCTCGCCTCTCCCATAGTGCCCTCTCCCCTCTCCCCCCTCCTCCTCCTTCTCCTCCTCCTCCTCCTCCTCCGCCTCCTCCTCCTGCTCAGCCCCCCCTCCTCC